TATCTATCTATCTATCTATCTATCTATCTATCTATCTATCTATCTATCTATGATTTGGCTTAGAGCCTCACACACAGCAGAGGTACTGGGGACTGAAAAGTGATATTCTGCCAGAAGCTCCTTTCCCTTTTTGCTTTCCTTCCTTCCTTTCTTCCTTTCTTCCTTCTCTTCCTCTCTTCTTCCTAATTTATTTATTTATTTGTTTATTTATTCATTTATTTGAGTTAGAGCCTCACTGTGCAGGTTTATGTGGCCTGGAACAACTCACTATGTAGACACTTGGAACTCACAGTGATCTATCTGCTTCTGCCTTACAAGTACTGAAACTAAAGATACATGCCACCAGGCCTGTGTCTTCTTCTCTTCTTATACCATTATAAACTATTTTGATTGCTTTTTCATTCAATTCTTATGTATCCATCTTATACTTTTTTTTAAGACCAAGATTCTTTGTAACCGAGGATCTTTTTGAATTCGATGACCTTCCTGCTTTAGCCTCCTAAGTGCTGGGATTACATTTATTTGCTGCCGTTCCTGGTACCATTTTCTAGGTCTACTATGGTCTACTATAATTTTTTTGTATTTCTTTTTTTTAATTTATTTTTATTTTTATTAATGACAGTTTATTCACTTTGTATCGCAGCTGTTGCTCCTTCCCCTATCCCCTCCCAATCCCATCCTCCCTCCCTCTTCTTCTCCTATGCTCCTCCCCTAGTCCAATGATAGGGTAGGTCCTCTTCCCCTTCCATCTTAGCTTAATCTATCACTATCTTTTTAAATGTTCTGATTTTGTTCATCCTGAATTCCTGGAAATAGACATTGCTGTGATTTTTTAGTATTAGAATGTAGAATTATTGGAGCTGTTTTATGAATGAGCTTTATTGTTTGTGTTTCTATTCATTTTAATGGACTTTCTTTGTTACTAGTCTCATTAAAGAAGATGAATCACCTTCTTCTAAGTATTTGAGAATTAGTAGCTTATGACTGAATAAAGCTTTCCTTAATTCACCTAGGCTGGAAGATAATGAGAATATAGGATCTGATTTTTTAGTTTCTTCAACAATATTGGTTTGCATTTTAATACTCCTTGATTCTTTGTTAGTAAGTAATACTTTTCTTTATAACCATCAGTTTCATTCATGTTTTCAAATGTATTGACATTCGATGAGCTATAGTTTCTTCTTGATTAACCATTTAAGTTGTGTGTGTATGATCAGAAAGGCCCTTTAATGTAGTATTATTTGTCTGGAGTGGAAGTTATTCTGCTTAATTAGATTTTCTAATGAACCAGAATTCTTCCTTAATTAATTTCTGCTTTTCTTTTCCTTTTCTCTTAATTTCTTCTTTCCTCCTTTTATCTATTTGATTTCTTTCCTGTAGTTTATTATATGTTGAGTTAATTTTTATCTACTTTGTATTAGATAAAATACACACAGTAAAGGGTGGTAAGAGCAAGGAATTAAAAAATAGAAAAAAATGCAAAGTATCAATTAGGAGGAACGAATTTTTGATGTGTTTTCACAGGTAATAGGAAAGTTATTAATAAATACATTTCACACTTTATGGAAATGAATTTCTGGTATCTTGTCATATATACCAGCATGTAACTATGGCACTGGTGCTGGTTAGCTTGACTAATTTTTTCACGTCTTCACATACATCACAGTGTCTCATTTTAATTTGTTAAACATCTATAAATATTCTGTGATTATATTATTACCCCCTCCTTTAATTATTTAGGATCGTATCTTAATTTCATAAATACATTTTAAGAACCTTTTTGTGGCTGGAAATGTTCCTTGATAGAGCACTTGCCAACTACAAGCAAGCCTTAATGATGGTTGATCCCTCGCACTGCAAGAAAAACAAAACAACACCAAACAGAAATTTGTCACTTTGCAGATGAAGTACTAACAGTATGTTAGGTGACTTGTTGAAATTTCCGTGCTGACTTGGCACATGATCAGGTTTAAGTGGTAATTTATTTAAATGTTTATGTATGTGTGTCTCTCTTTGTATACCATGTTGGAGGGTGCCTTTGGAAGCTAGCAGTGGAAGTGTAACATCCACAGCCTGGAGTTACAGGCAGGTGGGAGTCACTTGACACAGGTCCAAGAATGGAGCTTGGGTCCTCTGGAAGAGAAGCCAGCGTTCTTAACTGATGAGGTATTTTCTCACCCCATCAGGTTTATTTTCAGACAATAGTAAATGTATAATCAAAATAATTTCACATTCTGTGTTTATTAAGTTCAAGACTGTATGTAATTTGCAGATCAATTTTATTTGTTTGTGTTAAAATGTTTTGCCTTATTCCTACTCTTCTGCAGGTTTTCTGGTTATATACTTGTCATTTTCATTATATTTTATCAGTTTTGTTTCCTGTTTCTCAAAGTTGTACTACTAAGTCTAAAGTTCATGATTATGATCTTCACAGAATTTTTATTTATATTATTAGGTATTTGTTCTTAATTATATGAATCCCTTTCCTGGAATATTCTATTTCTTTCTGGTATTAACATTTTGTTATAGGTTCTTATTTTGGTTAAAAATTGTCAGGCTTTTATTTTCTCAACTTTTCTGTTTATCATCTTTAGGAACAATGGGCTCATTCATTTATTTATTTGCTTTTTGTATAGTGTAAGTACTCTATACTTATTCATAGGTTGTACTTATTGCAAACAGTGATAAAACTGAAATTGTGTAGTCCCTCTTCTGGTTTAAAATTCATGTGTAGTTAGTATTTCTATTACTATAGAATAGTTTTCATCATTTTTATTGTATAACTAAGATTATATGCAGAAGAAAATTCGTTCTGAGAATCACAAGCTAACAGTTGTTATCTATCTATCTATCTATTTATTTAATTTTTAACAGAATATAAAATCTGGATGAAGACCTACCATTATAAACTCAGGCTTTTGTCTTTTAGCTTGTCATCCCTTAAGCCCTGGATTTTGTTTTGATTTGCTTTATGGCCATAAATGTTCACTTAACTTTCAGACAGCACATCTGTACCAGACAGGATGAAGTTGGGAAAGGGCACATGGGAAAAGAGATATACATATTAAAAAAGCCCCCATTTGTCAGAAAAGGAGTG